CTTCACTGCTTTTCTAGGCTCGAAGGTAACTTCGAGGCTCTGTATTTCTATGGTCCATTTGATCATTCGGCCTGACGACTCCATGATGGTCAGTGGCCGCTTAATAGGTTGGTCTGTATACACGACGACTGCATGTGCCAAAAAGTAGGGCTTCAATTTTTTAACAGCCATGAAGAGTGCAAGACCAAATTTCTCCACTAAGGGATACCTCAACTCAGCATTTTTCAGTACGTGACTGACAAAGTAGACCGGAAGCTGACAACCGTCTCTTTCAGCAAGGAGAACAGCGCTTAACGCATGATCAGAGACGGCCAGGTACATGTAGAGTACTTCTTTGGGCAAAGGGCTGACCAGCCTCGGCAAGGAATGCAAGTGAACTTTCAATTTCTGGAAGGCCGCCTCAGCATCCGGCCCCCATTCAAACCCTGCCTTTTTCTTAATTGCCTGGAAAAAGTATAGGCATTTGTCGCCTGATCGGCTTAGAAATCTTCCCAAGGCCGCCAGACAACCTGTTAACTTCTGAACCTCTCGGATGGTACGAGGCGACTGCATGTCGATGACCGCCGGCACCTTCTCAGGGTTCGCCTCTATTCCTCTCTGATTGATAAGGAATCCGAGAAATTTCCCAGACTCAACTCTAAAGACACATTTCTTGGGATTGAGCATGACATGGTGCCGCCTGAGTGTGGCGAAAGTTTCTCGGAGGTCCGACAGATGATCTTTCTGAAGTTTAGACTTGACAATCATATCATCAATATATGCCTCGACATTTCTCCCAATCTGATCAAAGAACACAGTGTTTATCATTCGCTGGAAAGTGGCCGGGGCATTCTTAAGACCAAACGGCATGACCGTGTAACAGTATAACCCCTGATCAGTGACGAAGGCCGTCTTCTCCTGATCTTTCTCCCATAAAGGAATTTGATGGAAACCAGAGTAGGCGTCCATAAATCTCATCAAAGCATGGCCGGCTGTTGAGTCGACCAGGTTATCAATTTTAGGCAGAGGGTAACTGTCTTTGGGGCACGCCTTGTTTAAGTCTGTGTAGTCTACACACATTCGCCAGGTGCCATTCGGCTTTTTAACAAGCACCACATTTGCAACCCAGTATGGGAAGTAACATTGCCGAATGAACCCTGCATCAAGTAATTTTTTAACTTCGGCGGCTGCCGCCTGACTTCTTTCTTCGCCATGGTTCCGCTTCTTCTGCCGTACCGGCTTCTTTTTCGGATCCACGGCCAGTTTATGTACCGCCAGATCAGGACTAATGCCTGGCATTTCATGGACTTCGAATGCAAAGATGTCCTTGTATTCTTTCAATAGTTTGTGAAAGTCGTCACCCAGGTCCCTTAGAGCAGTCGTCCCAACCTTGATTGTTCTGTCAGGACGCGAGTCATCTAAGATCAGGTCCGTATGCTCACCAGCTGGCTGAGGGCGGAATTCATCCGACCGCTCCTCTGCCAATGATTGCTATTTTCTGTCTTTTCTTGCGGCCCCTGTCTGGGATGCTTTTCTCTTCTTGCCGCCTGCTTCTTGAAAAGGCGCACTCTCCTTGACATTGTCAAGGTCTATTTTTCCACCGCTCGACCCAGTGGCCATAACAGTGGGCTTGACATCCGAGAGATAGCACTCACGGGCCATCCTCTGATCTCCCCTTAGGGACCCGACTGTTCCATTATCCCTCTCAAACTTGAGCAACATAAGAGATGGGATTATAACAGCCTTGGAATTATTCAGGGTTGGTCGTCCCAGAATCATGTTGTAGGCCGAGAGTTCTTCTACTACCAAGAACCGGACTACCATGTGTCGTCCTTCCCCTTTTTCGCCCAGGCGGATGGGTAAATCCACTCGTCCCACTGGGTGGACGACTCCTCCTCCAAACCCTACTAAAGGGTGGGATGCCGGATGTATGCAATCAGTCTGATATTTTAGTTTCGACAGACATTTGCTACTGATGAGATCTGAGGAGCTTCCGGTATCTATGAGGATTCGGCCAACTCTCTGGTTGGCCACTTTACATTCAATAACGATAGGGTCGTCATGCGGCCCTCTTACCCCTCCTAGATCTTCTTCAGTGATGACAATCTCAGGAAATGAATATTTGGAGGGCCATTCTTGGTGAACGGAATTTACATCTAACCGTCTGATATTGTCTTTGTTGCCCCTAATAGTGGGGCCGCCTCCTGAGAAGCCGCCTGCAATGGTTTAGACGACTGCATCATCTGTATCGAACTGTCGGCCTGTTGATTCTTTTTGGCCGACTGCTTTTTCGAGGAAGTGTTCCCCGTAGATTTCTTGACATAAGTGTCAAGATCACCTTGCTCAGCCAGGCGGTCCAGATACCGCATGAGACTGATGCATTCATTGGTGTGATGACCAACATCTTCATGATAATCACATAATTTTTCTTGGTTCCGGTTGTTTGCAGAACCCTTCATGGGGACCAGCTTCTCAATTGAGATCCGTCCCTTGATTTCCTTTAGGATAAATTGGCTATCCTTGTTAAACGCATACTTTGGGAGTATGGTTTGAATTCTTTTTTCTTTTTCTGGGCCGGCTATTTAGAGGAATCAGCCGCCCAGACCTCTTTTCTCTTCTCGTCTTTGTTTGACGACTGTTTCTGTCGTCCTTCTCTTTTGTCGGACCTTCTCCCGTCTGACTGCTTTACCGTACTACAAAGATCAGTCGCCTGTATATAAGCTTCCGCTTCAATCAAGGCCTCTTGAAGAGTCGCCACCCTCTTTCGGACCAAGTCAAATTTAAAGGTCGACCCGTCTTTGAGACCTCTGAAAAAGTCAGTATAGGCTACTTCATCCGGTAACCCTTGAATCTGTATTCTCATCAGGTTAAACCGCCTGATGTAAGAACGAAGCCCCTCCTTCTCGCCCTTCTGAATTGTTCCTAAATCAAGAGTCGTCTTCTTCGCAGGGATGTTCATGGCGAAGTTGGAGGTGAATAAGTAAGCAAGCGTCTTGAAGTTATTTACACAACCAGTCGGCAGGTTGCCGAACCATTGTTGTGCGATTCCTTTGAGAGTCGCTGGGAAACACTTGCACCAAGTGGGATCATCCAACCCTTGAAGGTACATCAGGTTGGTGAATGTCATCAGATAGTCTTCTGGGTTAGTAGTGTCGTCATAGGCGCCTACTAATACATTTTTCACTTTGGCCGGCTGAGCGGCTTCAGTAATTTCCTTGGAGAAGGCCGACGGCTGTTCACCAAATCTAAGCAACCGTAGCTGCCAGTCCATTGGTTGGACATTTTTTGCTGCATGTCCACCAAACGGAGGTGGCTGTAAAAAATACTGTTGTTGCGGTACAAACGGTAAGTTTGGTACCGCCTGGTCGCTATGAAAGCCGGACTGACGGGAGGTGCCGCCTGACTGACTCTCATGATACGACTGAGTATGCCTCATCGAGGTATTTCGCAGACTGTCTTGGAAGTTTGAAGTAGAGGCCGACTCTGACAATCGGCCACTCTTCTTCTGCTCTAGCAGTAGCCGAGCGTCTGTGTATGTTTTCCTCGACCCGTCCGCCTGAATATGACGAACAGGTTTCCTATTTCCTGGAGTAGGAAAACGGTATTTTGTGAAATCAAGGGCAGGTGGCTCCCACTTCCTAGATTTAGGATGAGGGGTCGCCTCTCGCCCTTGAACTGGCTTCCTCTTCCGTGAAGTGGAGGGTTTCTTAGCCGACTGCTCCTTGTCCAGAGCAGGCGGCTTCTTGTTGATCAACTCTTGAATTTCTCCCTTGAAGTCCCTCATGAAGGTCATGAGTTCGTTCCTTGTGATGGGAGCAGACCCATCAGTCGGCTGCTGCCGAACAGGCGGTGCGCCTGCTGGCTCGCTTCCAGTTTGAAGATGTTCCCGTTCCCTCCTTTCGGTATGACGGGTACGTCGGGCCCTTAAGGTCCCGTCTGAAGCTGTGTGAGCTTCAACTTCAAATTCATTCTCAGTATCGTGGTCCGACTGAACTAAAGGGTCGTCCAGGGGACGTCTCTCTTCAGGGGCCGGTACAAACGTGGATGCCATCTCAGAAATACTCTCCCCACAGACGGCGCCAAGATGTTTCGGGGTTTTCTGATGTCCTGCGGGAGAGTTACGATTCCGAGATTGGAACCGGACGCCTGTACCTGCAAAACAAACGGATGCTCCGGATGATTGGAGATCCGCCTCCGACGGTCAAGTTAGTACTTGATTAAGGAGTAATTAATGCGGAAATTAAAGTGATTGGGTCTCTCTAGGTGAGAGAGTTTAATGTGTGTAATCTGCGTAATCTCCCTTAATGAGGATTAAGGGAGGTATTTATAACCTCGGGAAACGTGCCAATCTAGGTTTAGGTTAACCTTGGGCTGATTGGGCTTCCCACGAAAGTTGGGCCTAGGTGACCGGTTATCCCAGGTGTCATGGGAAGGACACGTGTCGTGTCGTAATTGGTCCAGAGTGGACGGATCATTGCTTGACACGTGGCAGGCTCCTATTGGCCCATGTGACGGACACATGGCGGAATTTGATTGGTCCACTTGTCAGATGGTGATTGGTGGGAAAAATCCCCTAATCAGATACTATAATGGTTGATTGTCTCCCAAGCTTACATCTTTACTCTATTGTAGACAACTAGACGAAGATAATTAGGTAAAACCCTATCAAGGACGGTTTCCTAACTTATAACTTTCATTAAAAATTTATATATTTTCTAAAAAAAGTGTAGAGTCTCATACTTTTGTGCACGTTATATTAAGCAGGGGTACGGTTGAGCTTTTTTATCCTTACACCTTGCTTTAGCAGCTATAGGTTATGTGGAGAGGGAAATTCTCTTAATTTGGTTCAATATAGCTCTTCACCTAACCTTTTCGAATAAAAAATAGTATAATGACATGTACCTTTTTTTTATATACTTCCTTATCAAGACGCATAATTGTAAGAAATAAAGTTATCAAGTGTTGTTTATTTTTAGTAATCTGTAATGAAAATAGGGGTCGAAGGTGTAGTGGCGAAGAGTGTTATTTTCTCTTTCGGGATGGACGAAGAACTGATAAGATCATAAAAGTACATTTTTTATTTATTAGACTCTTGTATTTATATTGACTTTTAATGATTTAAATGTTTATTAAATAATTTTTCTTCTGGAGACACGAGTTACTACTATTTTTTTTTATAGGAAGGAAAATTACGGTATCAAAATGCATTTTACCAAGCTCGGAAAAAGAAACAAAGCTTACAAGTGAAGTCACATACTTTAAGCCCAATAATCACATGGATCCTGAATATAACAACTTGACCCTCAACCAAAGCAAAAAGAACAAAACAAAAAGAAAAATAAAGGAGCAGCTACTCATTGTTCTTGCGGGTAAAACACAAAGTTCTCCACCGACTTTCGTGGGTACCAAACTGTCAAGCAAGAGATGATGAAGATGAAATTGGATAATTATCGGAGCAAAATACTCGGTGTAGTGGAGATAATGAATGGAGGTTTCTTATCTTTTTGTTGGGGTTCTGGGGAGTTATCAAATTCATATTTTTTTGGGATTTTTCTGGGCTAGGTTTGAGGAATAAATTGAAGATATTCATCTGAGGTAAAGGAGAGACGAAAGTGAAAAAGCACAGAGAAGGAGCAGCGGATTTCATGCGAGCAAATCTGGGGGCAGTGGAGTTCGTGGCATCTTCCTTTGTAATCCTCAAATTAAGTTTGATACTACATTAGTTTAATATCTTACTTTTTCTTATTGAATTCATTTTGGTATGATTGATATCTTATTAGATTATAGGATTGAATCTTATTATTAAGTTTATCTTTGTTAAATTATTGCATTTGTTCATTATTGGAACTTGATTGTTTCGTTTAGCTACTGTTAGCCTTATCAATCTAATGTTTAACTATTTCTTCCATATTATGAAGTTTCTGTTTGTAATTGTTATTGTTCTTTCAACTCTTAATATGTGAGGCTAGATTATTAGTGGGAAGGGAGATATGTTATGCAATGGACTATTGTATTGTGAGAATAGATTTGTTGTAATTATTGGGTATTATGATTATGTCTTAATTGGTTTGATAATCAGTTTGATTATTATGAACTAATAGGATTATATTTTAGACCGGCCATCTTTAGCGTAATTTTCTAGTTTAATTGTTAGAGTATTAACTTTTGATCCGTAATTGTCCTAGTTAATACCATTAGTAGTGATTAGGTGTTTGATGGGTGACTAAAACTTGTCGTAATACCTAAGATTATCAACCCTTTGAGTTGCACAAGTCCGAGCTTGTAAGATTTGTGGCTTAAGTTAACTACTTCCTTGTTATTAATGCGGCTAATTAATCGAGTCTAGAGAGCTTGTTCTAGATTATTATTTAGTTAGACAATATTCCGAGAGCTCGTTTGGTGTATTTGCAGTTAAGGGAAGTTTCGAATGCTTGTTTGTGTTCATTGGTTAACATTAAGATATAAACGTAATTCGTATAATTCGATGAGCAATAGTTGATACTCTAATGTTATAATACATCTTTTGATTCCCTATTTCATTATTCTTGATTTTATCGTATTTCAATTTTTATTAGTTTATTTCTCTGTACTTTATTTGTTATCTAGTTAGTAACTTATTTACCAAATTTTGGCGCCGTTGCTAGGGAATTGGCATTTTATTACATTATTACTTGTGTTTTTTGCTAACTTTCCTTACTAACTTGTCATCTAGTTCTTTGTTTGTTTATCTGTGATAGAAATTCGAAGAATCAACGATTAAGAGAATTTGCAACAAGGAACCAGGGACATATAATTATCCTTTTTCTACATCTTTTGTAGCTAAAAGGACTCGTGCTCAAATACTGGAGCAAGCTCGTCAGATTCCGTTGCCTCTAAGTGAGAGTTCATCTTCGGAAGAGGAAACTGAAGAAATTTTTGAGATGGCTGACCGTACCTTAAAGCAGCTCGTTGTTCCTACATTTGATCCTAATTTGATGTGCATATTAGATGTCAGGACACAATGTGAGATCAAGCCTGGGCTGATTAGAGCATTACCCACATTTTCAGGTTTTCGCAATACTAGTTCCTTGGGTTCAGTTTACATGAATGAGGCGAACATATTTTTAAAGGAATTTCACACAGCATGTTCGAGGATGAAACCTGCTGGTGTAACCCTTGATCAGCTCAAGTTAAAGGCATTTCCTTTTGCTTTAACTGATGCTGCCAAGGAGTGGTTGTTCGGACTGCCTGCAGGAACCATCACAACTTGGCTCAGATGCAAGAAAAATTCATAAAAAAATATTTTCCGGCATCTTTAGCAGCAAACATTAGGAAAGAAATATGTGGGATTCGACAAGAAGATGAAGAGCACTTCATGAGTATTGGGAGCGTTTCAAAAAGCTATGTAATAGCTGTCCTAACCATTAGATCAGTGAGAAATTACTAGTGTAGTATTTTTATGAAGGGCTAACGGAGTCGAATCGGAACCTAACTGATGCTGCAAGTGGCGGAGCATTGGTTGATAAGACACCCACAGAGGCAAAGACGCTGATTGCAAACTTGGCAGCAAACTCTCAATATCGAGGAGGTCGAAATATCAAGTCCGGTTTGTACGTCAAGTTAATGAAGTAGTGAGTTCTAACTTCGAGCAACAATTAGATAAACTCACTTCCTTAGTGGCCTGGAGCGATGATGATTGAAAAATGGCAAGAAAAAGTTTGTGGCATATGTTCGATAGCAGGACATCCAACTGACATGTGCCCACTATGCAAGAGGAACAAGTGAATTCTGTTGGTGATGTCCAAGGGCAGCAAAGACGTTATGATCCATTCTTTCAGACCTATAATCCGGGTGGAGAGATCATCCAAATTTGAGATATGGAAATAATGTTCAGCAACAGGCAGGTAGCTCTAACCTCAGATAACCAGCTTTCCATCAACATCAAGCATCTAATCCTCCACTTGGTTTTCATCAACAACAGCAATATCAGCCGCGACCTCAAAATCAGCAAGTTTCCCATCCACAATCTGGTAGCTTATCTCTAGAAGAAATCGTGAAGGCAATGGCTGACAACACTTTGCATTTTCATCAAGAAACAAGAAGTGGATTAAAGAACTTGGAGAACCAAGTTTCTCAGTTGGCTAACACAGTGGGAAAGCTCCAAGCTCAGAACTCTAACAAGATTCCGAGTCAACCAGAGAGAAATCCGAAGGAGAATACAAGCGCCATATCACTTAGAAGTGGCAAGCAGCTGGAGGTCCTGGAAAAAAGCAAGAGTGAAGTGCTGGAAGAGGAACAAGAGACTATTGTTCCAGGAAAAAATGAGCAGCCCTCTGAGGTAAGTGATGTTGTTTCATCTAAAACTAACCATTTTTCTTCTTCTGTTCCTTTCCCTAGTAGGTTAACTTCTAAGGATAAGAAGAAAGAGATGGAAAAGGAGGTGATAGATGTATTTCGCAAGGTAGAGGTGAACATATCTTTACTGGAAGCCATTAGACAAGTGTCGTGTTATGCAAAGTTTCTGAAGGATTTGTGCACTAACAAGCGAAAATTAAATGGAGATGAAAAGGTCAGTGTAAGTGAGAACATATCTGCTTTTTTACAAAGGAAAATTCCTCCCAAGTGTAAGGATCCAGGTCTTTTTACTATACCTTGTAGAATAGGTAACACGAGATATGAGAGGTGCATGTTAGACTTAGGAGCTCCTATTAATGTGGTGCCTTTATCTATTTATAAAGCTCTAAACTTAGGACCTTTAAAAGATACTCGTGTGATTATCCAACTTGCTGACCGTTCTAATACTTATCCTTTAGGAGTGATTGAGGATGTCTTAGTAAAAGTAAATGAACTTGTGTTTCCTGTTGATTTTTATGTGTTAGATATGCCAAATGATGAATCCTCTAATGCAACACCAATCTTATTAAGGAGGCCTTTTATAAAAACATCTAGAACCAAGATTGATGTTCATAGTGGGATTTTGACCATGGAATTTGATAGGGAGGTTATCCGATTTAATTTATTTGATGCCATGAGATATCCCTCTTATTGTGAATCTGTTTCTACTATAGATGTCATTGATGCATTAACTGAGCAAGTATTTTTTTCTCTCTAGTCATGATGCATTAGATGTTGTTTTGACTGAACCTGTGGAAAAAGAGCAATACATTGACCTGCAGGAACATTTTGAGCTCGAAAATGATGTCAAGGAAGCTTTCTCCTCCTTGGAGGTGCTTCCAAATAAGCAAGGAAGGTATGCGGATAAATTTATGAAATTGCCTGTCACATCTAATAGACTTTTACCTTTTGTTGTACAGCCACCTGAAGTGGAGTTAAAACCTCTGCTTGACCACTTGAAGTATGCATTTTTGAGAGAGAATGACACTCTTCCAGTCTTAATCACAAGTAATCTAACTCCGGCTCAAGAGCAAAAGCTGGTGCAAGTTCTCAAGGAACACAAAACAGCTCTAAGGTGGACAGTTGCGGATATTAAAGGGATTAGCGCTTCTATGTGTCAGCATAGAATCTTATTAGAAGAAGGAGCTAAACCTGTGAGACAAGTGAAACGACGACTTAATCCACCTATGATGGAAGTGGTAAAGAAAGAAGTATCGAAGCTTCTTAAAGTGGGGGTGATATACCCTATATCAGATAGCCCTTAGGTCAGTCCTTTGCTAGTAGTCTTGAAAAAGTCAGGAGTCACAGTGTTGGAGAATGATAAGGGAGAAATGGTTCCCACCCGAGTGCAAAATGGGTGGAGAGTTTGTGTGGATTACATGAAACTTAATTCTATGACTCGAAAAGATCATTTTCCCTAAACCTTTATTGATCAAATTGTAGAACGTCTTGCTGGTCATGCTTATTACTGTTTTCTTGACGGATATTCAGGTTATGTGCAGGTTCCTATAGCTTCGGAGGATTAAGAAAAAACGACGTTCACATGCCCGTATGGCACATTTGCGTATCGTCGTATGCCATTTGGATTGTTAAATGCCCCAGCGACTTTTCAGAGATGTATGGTAAGCATCTTTTCAGATTATCTTGAAAATTTTATAGAGGTTTTCATGGATGATTTCACTGTTCATGGAGATTCGTTTGATAATTGCTTAGAACATCTCACTTTGGTTCTTAAACATTGTCTTGAAACTAACCTTGTGCTTAATTCTGAAAAATGTCATTTCATGGTTCAACAAGGTATAGTTTTAGGCCATATTGTGTCTTCTGAAGGAATAAAAGTCGATAAAGCTAAAATAGATCCTATTTCTTATCTGCCTTACCCTGCCTCTGTGCGGGAATTTCGTTCTTTTCTTGGCCATGCAGGTTTCTATCGAAGGTTTATTGAAGGCTTTTTGAAGTTTGCACAACCACTATGCAGACTACTCCAAAAGGATGTGGAGTTCCACTTTGATGAGGCCTGTAAGAAAGAATTTATAAGCCGAAAGACAAGTTGGTCATTGCCCCTGTTCTACAACCTCCTAATTGGGACTTTCGTTCGAGCTGATGTGCGATGCTTCTAATTATGCCATAGGTGCAGTGTTAGGCCAGCGAGTTGGAAAAGCTCCCCATGAAATCTACTATGCTTCGAAGACTTTGGATGCGGCTCAAGCTAATTATACTACAACTGAGAAAGAACTTTTAGCTGTTGTTTTTGCTTTAGAAAAATTCAGATCTTATTTATTGGGTACTAAAATTATTGTGTTTACAAATCATGCAGCGCTGAAATATTTATGGTCAAAGGATGTATCCAAACCTAGGCTAATACGTTGGATTTTATTGATTTAGCAATTTAATGTTGAAATAAAAGATAAAAAAGGTTCAAACAATAGTGTTGTTGATCATTTGAGCAGGTTTCTTGTAGTTGAGGAAGGTAAAGCAATCAATGAAGAGTTCCCCGATGAGCAACTTCATGCCTTGAGCTCAAGAACTCCGTGGCATGCTAATTTGGTGAATTTTCTTGTATCCGGGAAGTTTCCAATCATCTACACTAAAGCATAAAAGGATCGGATGCGAAGCATAGCAAAATACTACATATGGGATGACCTATATATCTCTGGAAATTTTGTGCCGATCAACTGATTAATTAGAAGGTGCGTTCCTGATTTCGAATTTATTTCTATACTAACTTTCTGCCATTCTTATGCATGTGGAGGACATTTCGGACCTAAGAGGACCGCATGCAAGGTTTTAGAGAGTGGTTTCTATTGGCCATCAATTTTCAAAGATGCATATGAAATCTAACACCCCCAAATCTCCCTCTACATAAATATTAATATAATACGTATAATTATACAGTAGAGATAGATTTGGGCATATTTCCGCTGCATGATTATGCAAGGCTACTCAAAATACTTAACTCAACAACAAAACTTGCAACGAAAACTCAACTTTATTTTATTAATACTTATAAAAATAGTAACATTGTTATAAGTGCTCAAAAATAAAGACAAGACCAACATTCCTAAACTAGGTGAAGCAAATCCCTAGACTCCCATATGTTCATTCATGATTCCACCTGAAAATAGTCAACGCTTACCATTACGGTAAACAGGGCGAACCAAAACAAATAAGAAATACGGATTAGCAAATTATGCTAAGTACGATAAATGCAAGATAGTGTAAACTCAATTTATTTGCAAACATGCTTTTAAAACCAATTCCAATAATTAATCCAATAAATTCAAAACTCATTATTCCAAAACCGATTTCAATGATTCATATTCAAATAATAGTTAATAAAACCAATTCCTTTATTAAGAACCAATTCCTTTTAATCCAATTCCTCACCCAAGTGTGCATACCCCCAAGCTAGTCTCCTTATATTACAAGGCTATTCTTGAGGAAAGACCCGGTCATACAAAGTCCAAGGCCTTATCAATAAACCAAATCCGCATAGTGGGATTACTAACATGCAAGCATTAATAATAATAATTCAATGGTTCAATAAATCCTTTTAATATCCAATAGTTCCAATATAATTCAAAATCCTTTTTAATTAATTCCACATGCTTTCAAAATCAAACCTCGTAAATAAATACCTGAGAATAAAGTCTCATATTAAAAAATTTTCAAAATCACAACTCTTCCTTAAAAAACCTTTATTTAATTCAACAAACCTTTTAAAATCAATTCGTTTATTTAAACACGATAAGTAATCTAAACCATTCAAAACATGATTTAAAAATCAATCATTCAAAATACTTTTATTAAAATCAAAACCTTCAAACATAATTTATTTCAAAATCATAATTCAAATCAATTTAAGTCAATCCCAATTAAATCATGTAAAATATGTTATTCAAAACAATCACTTTCGAAGGTATCTAGCCACCTAAACGTACCTTGATCCTTTCTAGAAAAACCACACAAAAAGAACCTCAAGAACCTTGATTTCGAAAATCAATCAACACTTCGCACTTTCAAAGTTTAATCACGAATACACCTTGCAAATAACATAACCATAAGGTTATCACAACATAAACTCAAATATAATGTGCATGTACTATAAAAATCTTTTAAAATAATACTTTTATATAAAATTATAGCTTTGAAATAGGTTATTTGTATTTTGGAAAACTAACCATGAAGAAGATAAAGGAATAGGTTTAAAGAGAATTGAATTTTCGTTGGAAAGAATAGGCAGAACTTGCAGAGGCCATAACTCCTTCAATATAATTCCGAATTGGGTGATTCTTGATCCTAAACTCAAGTATTTTTTGAGAGACACAATCTTCTGTGAAAAACCAATACCCTAAAAACTGACCAAAAGTGCCCGAAAACTAGATTCGAAGATAAACGGGATAATATTTGTATGGAAAGAGGAGAAGAAAAGTATGAAGAAGAAGAAGAAGAGAGAAGAAGAGAATTAGGTTTTTGGTGTGAATAATATGAGAGGTATGAAGGGGTATTTATAGGCTAGTTCATGCAAGAATTATGGCAAGAGAATGTGGGAAGAATTATGGCAAGTAGGGTTTATGAGATTGCTTGGAGAAGTGAGTAAAATTAAAGAATTAAGGAAAGTTTAGATATTAAGATGATTGTGTATACTTGAATATGGAAGGTATGTATGTCATGAAAAATATTAAGGAAATTGGAATTACTTAGGGAATAATTAAGAAGAATGAATGGCAAGAAAATATGATGATTGAATATTAAAAAGATGGAGAATTAGAATTAAGGAAAATAGGAGATTTTGGGAGATAATTAAAAATATAATTTTACCAATTAAATTCCCCCAAAATAATTCAATAGGGCCGAATTTATTGAGCTTACCATACCTCAAATTTTCAGATTCCTATAAATATATTTAGGAAGATTTTGCTCGGTTTTTAAGGAATAAAATAATTGTATAAATAATATAGAATAATTAATTAATTAATTAATTAATAAAATACCAATTATTTACCAATAAATATTCAAGAAAAATAAGATTTTCCATACATGGAAAATCCGAAAATCCTAGCTATTATTGGAAAATTTCAGCCATAATAATATAATTAATAAAATATTATTTTTCTCTAATTAAAATATCCAAATTATGTAAATAATCCGGTTTCTAAAATAGGATAAATGGATAATAAATCTTATCCAAAATAATGATTAGTTTTCAAAATACTTTTGGCACCAAAATTCAAATATTATTTTGGATCCAAATAATAAATTTACTAAATTACCCTTTTTATAAAATAATTCTTAATTAATTAATTAGAAAATACGTATGAAAATACGCGGTATTACAGTCTACCCCCCTTAAAATAAGTTTCAACCCGAAACTTAGTCAAAAGAAACGAAAATCATTTTGAAATTATTGGTTCATGCACATCCTAACTTGACTCAAGACTCCAACTAAACTCAAATAAGACTCGAAATCACTCAAAAATAGACACGCGAAACTCTATCGCCCTTTACCCCCTTAAAAGGAGTTACGCCCCCGTAACTCGGCCAACACATTAGCTCACTAAATAAATTAACAATTTATCGACAATCATCAAACAAAGTAAGGAAAACCAGAAAGTTTCAAACATCCAAAGAGCTTAGGTTTTAAAATGATTTGAATATGAATAAAAGTAGTGAGCAAACTCGAAAAATATTTTATAAGTCATTCGAAAAATAATTTAAAATATTTACATTAGGAGAAATCATTGAAAACACTGTAAAGTCTCACATATATATAATTACAAAGTTTGAACTGAAATAAAAATACTTAATAAAAGATTTTACAAGATCTATGAAAGTTTTCAATCCAAACAACTATTTAAAAACAAAGAATACAAAACTTTATTTTGAAAACTATGTATTTGAAAATTCATTTTGCATACTTGTAATAAAATACTTGTTTCAATAAAAGTCTTACTTTTTCATAAAGAAACTCAATAATCACATATTCAACTTCATAGCAAACACTGTCATAGGTACTAAGCATAAAAGGAACACATCTTATCTTGAACCTCTCATCGCTCGTAGATTAGTAACTTGTCTCAAGGTATCCTCAAAAAGTATTAACAACTTCCCCAACACATTCATAAATCCTGATCATGGAACGCTAAAATATTTATGGTCAAAGGATGTATCCAAACCTAGGCTAATACGTTGGATTTTATTGCTTTAGCAATTTAATGTTGAAATAAAAGATAAAAAAGGTTATGACAATAGTGTTGTTGATCATTTGAGCAGGTTTCTTGTAGCTGAGGAAGGTAAGGCAATCAATGAAGAGTTCCCTGACGAGCAACTTCATGCCTTGAGCTCGGGAACTCCGTGGTGTGCTGATTTGGTGAATTTTCTTGTATCCGGGAAGTTTCCAATCATCTACACTAAAGCACAAAAGGACCGGATGCGAAGCATAGCAAAATACTACATATGCGATGACCCATATCTCTTGAAATTTTATGCTGATCAACTGATTAATTAGAAGGTGCGTTCCTGATCCCGAATTTATTTCTACACTAACTTTCTGCCATTCTTATGCATGTGGAGGACATTTTGGACCTAAGAGGACCGCATGCAAGGTTTTAGAGAGTGGTTTCTATTGGCCATCAATTTTCAAAGATGCATATGAAATCTGTAAGGCTTGTGACAAATGTCAAAGGACATACATGCACATTAATGTAACACCCCTAAATTACTCTCCAATAATAATGATACAAATATGATTAAGAGAGTAGCTTAGGAGCATTACCGCCACGTGATAACGTAAGGTTTTAAAAACAGAGACTTGCAACGGAAGAAATGCATCTTAGCTTTCATTAATTAATGGAAAATAGAAATAGTTTTGAAACATAAATCTTTTTGAAACATAAATCCAAATGGTACTCATACTAATTCATAATAGTAACTATAGTAGTGATAATAATAATAATAAGTAAGAAGTAGTAGTAGTAGTGCATAGTAGCATATAAGTAATACTTCCTCCGTTCTTAATTACTTGACCCACTTTGACTTTTATACTATTCACCACCCATCCTTTGACCGTCTTTTGTGAATAATATGTAAGGAAAAATATATTCATGTATGATCTTTTTGGATTCGTCTCAATAAGTACTATCATAATATATAACTTTTATAATTTTTACTTATGGAGAATTTAAGTTATTGATCGTTAAAGTTTTACATTGGCAAGCGTGATAAAAGAAACAGGTCAAGTAAAAAAGAATAGAGGAAGTAGTTGTTATTAAACTAAAAATAATAATAAGTAAGGCAAATCATAATTATTTCAAAACAATATAGTCCAAGATAGAAGTGTATAAGCATACTTAAATTTAGAAAAAGGCCACTTACTTTTAAGTATTTTGGTGGGTTTTGTATATGAGTAAATTAAAAGACCAAACTA